TCGTGATGTACTGAGTACTGAATAAACGGTGCGGTAAGCTGGGGGCTTTTGTCTTTGCCGCCCAGAGCAGCACTGATCAGACCCAAAGCTCAGCTTCTTCTCAGTCTCATTTTTCTACCTTTCCTGTAATTTGCTGTGTGCTGCCGTGGCGCGCAGGAGACTAGGACTTACTGCAGAGGTTCTGGTAATGTCTCCTTCCCCTGTTCCCTACAAAAGGATACCACAAAAATGAAAAGTACTGCTTAGGAACAAGAATGACCACACTCTCACTTCTTTCACACTTCATAGAACTAGCTGTAATTCCTTAAACATTATGCTGGTTCCGTACTAGTTGTTTTTTCTTTTTGCTTCAAATATTCTCTGTGCTCCATTCACCAAACAAACTTCTTCAAAAACCTACCTTTACTTGTTCTAAGATAAACTAAATCATTCCTTCTTTAGTGATCCCACCATTTCATGTTCATCTCTTCACTAGAGAAATCATCCCAGGTGGTTTTCACTTATTTGTTCCCTCTCATGGCTGTAAGTACTTTATCATTATTGTAATCCAGTGCCTCACATATAGCAGAGCCCAATGAATACTAGTTGAATTAATGCCTAATGATTCCCTTATACCGCCTTAAAAATGTGAAAGAGACAAATGGGGTAGTCAGCATTGAAACAGTACTCTCAAGGTGATACAAAGTTTTCTTAAGTGTAGCAGTGAAAGGCACACTAACATACATCTTATTTAAGACAAATCTTTTGTGTACTGATTAACAATTCTCATGTTAAATATCACAGGTAAATTTCTAGATGGAAAAATTTTTAGTCCAAATAGTCATTTTTGGGGGGGGGGGTACCAGGGATTGAACTCGGGACCTTCCGCTTGCGAGGCAGGCGGCGGCACCACTGAGCTAAATCCCCGGCCCCCAAATAGTCTTATTTTTGATAATAATGCCTTTCAGAAACCAAATTTCCATCTATGTAGGCTATTCAAAGATTAACTATTCAAGAATATACTTTTGCCTTATTTTTTCATAACCAGTTTTATTTTTAACTGGCAAATAAAATCGTAAAGTTTGTCCATTTTAGTGGGGTAATATGTGATATTCTCATGGATGTGTACATTGTGTAATGTTTAAATCAGGTTAAACATATCTGTTTCCTCAAATATTTTTCTTTTCTTCTGGCAAAAGCTTTCAAAGTCCTTTCTTCTAGCTTTTTCAAATGTGCAGTTGAGGATTACTGTCTATAAGAATATACTTTAAAGTTACCATAACAAGAGAACCTGAGAGCTAATAGTCTCTTATACCTATTAAATATAGTAGTGTGTACTGAATTGTAATTTTCCAACTCAATGACACGATGATGTCATCTAACATTTACTTAGTGCTTATTTTATGCCAAGCATGACCTAAGTGCTTTATTTATATCATTTCATTTTATTCTTTCAATAATTCTATAAGCAAGGGTCTGTTATTATCCCTTTACATTTGAGAAACTAGTGCACTTAAATCATATAATTAAGTTTTAGTTAGAATATGAACTTAGCAGCTGCCTGGGAAGCACAAGGTCCTGAGTTCAATCTCTGGTACTGGAAAAAGAAAAAAAAAAAAGAATATAAACTTAGCAGCTTGCTTTCTTACTCTTTTAATTATGTATATATTTAATATTCATTTGTTTATTATTTATCCAACGAATATTTATCATCCACTGTATTCTAATCCCTGGGTTATAGATACAATAGATAGTTGTGAATAATAAGGTTCTTAACTGAAGAGAATAACATTCTAGCAGAGGAGACAAACAAATGAGAAACAAGATGAATTATGGTTGGAAATAGCTACTATATGGTACATAAATAAAATAATTAATGGATGGAAATTACTGGGATGGAAATGGAGTTAAGATCTCACTGAAAAAGATAGATTTGAGAGATGAGACTTGAAAGACAAGAATGAGTTGGAATTGAAAAGAACAAAGAGGAGCTTATTCCTGTCCAAGGTCACAGAAAGTGCAAAGGCCTCAATGCAGGAAAGGGCTTAGTGCATCAAGGGGAAAAAGAAGAGAATGAGATAGGCTTTAAGATGACATGGAGAGGTAGCCAATGCCATGTGAAACCTTACAAACATTATAAAGAATGTGAATATAAATTCTAAGAAAATAAATTCTCTGAAATCTTAAGCATGGCAATGATTAGATATAACTTATAATATTAAAAAATACAGTAAATCCCCGACATACGAACATTTGAGTTGCAAACTTTCACAGATACGAACAGATGAGAACAAATTTGGAAACAGCTCATGTGTCTGCCAGACACCATCACAGCTGTGCTGCTGTGTGCTAAGGGTACAGTACAATAGTGTACAGTAGTACAATGCTCAATCAGAGCCTAGGATGTCCAGAAGTAAGAAAGCAGTGGTGATGTGGAAGGGACTGCTAGGAAGTGCAAAGCAATATACATTGTGTAAAACTCACTTTGGTGTGTAAGACTCACTTTGTTGGACTTATGAACGAATCTGACTTATGTTTTTCCATAATGGAACTCGTTCCTAAGTCAGGGACTTACTATAATTCTAATTTGTAATTGGACAATAGATTTCAGATGGGCATGAATTGAGGAATAGCAGTTAAGAAACAATAGGTTGATAAGGTTAGTGAACTGATGAAACAGATGAGTGATCTGTAAGAAATGCTCTTTAGCATTTAAATGATACTTAAGGTCACAAATTACTGAACTTAGAAAGTAAATGCAATCAGAGAAGGCTTAGGATATAGCCTTAAAGTATCATAGCATTTATTTACTGGGAACTTCTTGCTCTGGCCATGAAGTAACAAGAGTCAGACTCAATCTCCCACCAAAATAACTAGAAAACTGGACAAAATACATAAAACTGTGTTTAGATATTGATCTATAGCCAAGACCATGATCCCCGAGAGAAGGGAAACAAATTAGGTGAAATCCACCACTAAACTGGCCTTGTGTCTGGTGAAAATACTTGATTGATGATTACAGAACACTTCACTCAAAAGAATAACATTCTTTAAAAGAGATTTGTTAGTGTAGGAGCTACCAGTATAAGAGACTGATGTTTTTTCTTGCCTCTTTCCTCAAAGGAATCTACATGAACTCTGCATTACCGTGTCCAACTTGCTGTTTACTTCCAGAGTAAGTACTTTATAGAAATCCTAAGGCTGAACTAAGGTCATGAGAAGAAATCAAATAATCAAGTGTATTATATGAAGAATATTAACTTTATAGACAGCAATAAGATATTGAAAAGCTCTGGCCTAACGATAGCGATACACCTTTACTATATAAGAAAATACTTGCATTGTGATAGTCTTTGTCTGTCCCATGAGAGAACTTTGTCTCTAACTCTGAAGGTCATAAATTTGTTTTGATTGTTCATATCTTCAAAAGTCTTATTGCCATTAGTAAGTGAAGGAATTTAGCATTTCCAAATTAAGAGAAGCATAAGAAAATACTCCACAAATAAAAGTCTAGATGAAAAATTGTATTAGAAATCACAATGACATATTTGAAAAACAATCAAGGGCTAAAGAACTCTGGCAATTCAATTATATATAGGTCCAAACAGCCTGGTGCGTGGTGGCAGATTCCTGTAAATTAGCTGTGGGAGGCTGAGATGAGAGGATTGCAAGTTTGAGCCCAGCCTGGGCAACTTAGTAATTGTGTTCCATGTCTTCAAAAAAAAGGGGCTAGGGAAGTAGCTCAGCATGAAGGCCCTGGGTTTAATCCCTAGTGCCACAAAAAATAAAAAATGTTCAACTTCACAGGTAAATGAGAAAATACAAATTTAAACAAATTGATACCATTAATTATCATTAAATAGATAATTCCAAGTAAATGATAACGTGAATACTATTTAAGGAATGGAGAAATGGATACTCTTTCACACAGTGTTGACAACACTAAAAAACTATTTCTAAAAGGGAAATCAGATGAGAACTATAATTTTTGAAGTTTGTGGGAACTTATTTTATGAAAATAATTGTGGACATTATAAAATGGAGGTGCAGACAGTTATAGCAAAAATTGAAACCTAAAGGCTCAACAACAGAAATGAATGTGTAATAAAACTGTGATACAGCACCTTAACAGAATATGTAATTAAAGATGATAGGATGATAGGAGGAAATACTTTAACAATATAGCAAAGTGTTATTTTTCTAATAATATTGTAATAATATCTGTAACATTGTGATATATTAAATAGAAAAGGTTATAAAAAGAATATAAACAATATCCCATTTTACTAAAAGGGTATATATATTTGCAAAAGTTATATATCTGAAAGCAATATAACAACATGATATTTGAGTTTTATTTTTATCTGTATACCAACATTTTCTAGAGATAATACACTTATTTCCTAACAAAAAATTAGTCACATATATTTAGAAGTAGTAAGTAAGAAAAGGCAAGAGGTCTAAAATATTTTAACAGAAGGTGTATATGAACTTCTAATTAATATTCTACATACAAATTAGGCAATAAGGCACTTCTGTCCACTTAAGATATATTGCTTAAGCTTAGTCTAATACTAAAGGTGGAAGCCTGGTTGGTCAGTAGGAAGAAGAGATAGTGTGTAAGTGTATAAGAGGATCTTTTACTTTAATAAAAGTAGACCCTATAAAATCCTTGTTGGGTGTGGTGATGGATACCTACAATCCCAGCTACTTGGGAGCCGAGGCAGGGGGATTGCAAGTTTGAGGCCAGCCTGGGCCATTTAGGAAGATCTTTTCCCAAAAAAAGGGAATCCAAGCCTATGAAATAGTCTTTATGCTATTTGCACTCTCAATGAATGACTATTTCTTTTCAGCATCTCAAAATAAAAGATGCTGTACTCTTTTCTTGTGTTCACTTTTTTGTATTTGAATGTGCTTGTGTTTTTAAGAAAGTAAAACTCAAATTATGATTTATCAAATAAAAGCAATCAAAAGAAATGTTATCAAATAGATAACATTTTCCATTTTAAGACTATACTTGCCTTTGGATTGTTCGCATCAAACAGTCCAGTTGAAAGTCCAATCAGCAAAGAGTTCTTGTTTTTATTTTGTGGTGGTGAATCAGAGTGAGATCGAAGTGGAATGGATTCTTCTGGTGAACACTGAATTGACTGAACTTGAGAGACTATATTCAAGTGTTCAGAATGAACCACTTTATGGAAAAATGGTTCTGGTTTTATAGATTTATCTACATCATATTTAGAATGGTGAGAATCATCTACTCCATGTTCTGTGGTATAGAGGAGAAATTATGTGATAAGTATATATAGTAGTTAAATAAATTTCTAAATTATATTGACAAAGCATAGTATTTAACATGAATTCTATCAAAAAGCCTTATATCTATCAGGAAAACAAAATACAAAAAATGTGAGTGTACTACTTTATAAATAATCTTTAACATGCCATATATTTCATTTTCAGAAAGATTTGATACATGCTTCCATTATATTGAAAGTACTAAAATAGACACAAAGCCAAGGAAATATGAAAAAATACTAAACACATTATTTTTAAGTTTTTCTTTGTTCCTATAGATAGAAAAAAATTACATTTGTTATATTTCAACTAACACTACCGTGGTACCTTGGCTCACAAACTTAATTTGTTCCTTGATTCTGGAAAAGGTGGCCATGTTCATGTTCATGCAGGAAAGATGGCCGCAGTTGTGTTTGTCACCCAATTCAGAGTTTGTAAGCAAAAACAAAATTTTGCCAAGTGCTTCTGTTTGTGAACCAAATTGTTTGCAAGCTAAAGTGTTCGTGAACTGAGGTACTACTATACTTTAAAAAGAGGACAATTTATTTAGTGTGCTTAGTACACTGGTTTAGTTTGGAAATCTTTTTCATTTTGAACACTTAATAAAATAACTGACCAAGGCTGGGGATTTAGCTCAGTGGTTTCGCCGCCTGCTGTGCAAGCGCAAGGACCCAAGTTCAAGCCCCGGTATCAAAAAAAAAAAAAAAATAACTGACCAAAAAATTTTTACTATCTTGCCATACAATCCAAGCTTATTCAGACTGTAGTGCTCTATGCCTATTAAATTTTAAAAATGATTATGATGACTGATAAAGAATGCTCTATTTATATGTTGCCCAAATAAAATAGTTTGGTATTAATTACAATTCAGGAAGAAATTAAATGATATTTACCTATAGTAACCTCACTAAGTTGGTCTACATTCCTCAAGATTGCATCTTCAGAAACTTCATTTTGCTGAATGGCAACTCTCTCTTCCACGCTGCCAAAGATAGACACATCAGTAAAAAAGATACAGTTTACCAGAAATCAAAGCAAAGCACTCTACAATACAGAAATAAGTTCACTAGTATCCTGTGATACCTCTTGCAAATCTTTTTCTCTTTTACATATACTTTCTCCTCTAAGCACACTATTTTTCACTTTGTTGAAATTTTTACTAATCATCAATCATTCATACATTTTGACAGTTTAAATTGTTATAATTTCTGAAAAGAATAACTGAATTGCTAATGAAATTTGTAAAATGCAATTGACCCACTCATTATATTTCTGTTTTTATCTAATATTCATGCAAAAATCACTCTACAAAAAATGTTATTTTTTGCAGCATCATCTGTGATATCAGCAAATGTCCACGAAGTTGGACATTCTTTAAGTTGCAGCATATCTACATCCAATAGAATACAAAAACAGAGGAAGGTTTTTTCGGTGTTTTTTTTTTTTTTGGTACCAGGGATCAAACTTGGGACCTTGTGCTTACGAGGCAGGCACCGGAACCACTGAGCTAAATCCCCGGCCAAGGAAGGTTTTTATGTATCAGGAAACTTCCCAGATTTATTATGGACTAAAAATAAATAAGACAGAAAATATTGTGCACATTCTACTAACAGCTGTACTTTGCAAAAAAGATTATATTTTTGTGAATACATATTAAAATTTATCTGAAAGAATGGAAAATGGCTGAATGAATACTGGGGGAGGCAAGGAATTTTACTGTATATCTTTATATATATAAATACATTTATTTTTATATATTGTGTTTACTATG